ATGTTGTTACAGTAAAACAAAACTCTAAAAGAGAAGAAAAGATTCGAAAAAGAAAATAGGGGAGAGTTCGAAAAAGAGACAAAGTCCTGCGCGGGTTACACAGGACCGCCGTGCTCCTTGCATCGCGAAATGCATTTTGCTCTCAGGCTTGGTCTATAGCCATGACGAATCAAAGGTCAGGAAGGGAACCTGGGTCGTGGAAATTTTGGAAGATTGATGGGCCTCACGGCTACAACACGCTGCGCTACGTCTACGCAAGATGGAATTGGCCTCACGGCCTGGCCTATTTTTTAATGTTTTTGTTGCTATTACTGTCTACTATCTGCTTTTTCTTGGGTTCAGTTTGGTGCTATTTTGGCGTTGAATAGCGCCTATTGTTGGATATATGTTTGTGTCTCGGGCATTTGTGTCAGATGCTTGGACTCCTTACCTTACTCAGACAAATTTGGTGTTGAAGCGTGTGCTTGGAGAAAAATACCCCTTGTTGATTGTTGTATTGTCATAACAAACGTTTACTACGACATGTACCTTTGTTTCTTGGAATCTTTGGAAGATTGTTTTCTCATGATGTGATGCTAATGTCAAAAGGCATGGATGTCCCTGCTATTGGGGATACTCATCACGAGAGCTCTCACCGTATCGTGCTTTTTAATGGACCACTTCGAGCCGTGCTTTTACATTGTCGAACGCCTCATCTGCACGACTGGCTCTGGGGTGCAGCTCTGGGGATGCATATGCAAGGCGGGTGGAAGCATCGTTTATGGGGGAGACGCAGTGATGCCCAACACTAAAGGGTTGTAGTATAGTTGCTGACGTGTGTGAAGTTTAAGGCTGAACTCAAGAGGTGGATTAAAAAATGATTTATGACCTGGATGAAAGTATATATCAACAGTTTGGTTCTTTCATTGGCGTTGGAAAATGAGGCGAGAAGGGGAGACGACGCTGCAAGTTGGGTTCATGATGGAGAAGAGTTGGTGTAAGTTGGGTACACATCCATTCTCATGATGATATGGATTGTCCAATGACGTTGTATGTCTCGAATAGACAAGGGTTATCTGCAAAATGATGCACTTTAACGGCTCCTCATTTCATTGGATGCTCACCGAGTTCTAAAGTGCGGATGCGTTCCTATGAGAAGGCCTTGGAGATTGGGGGCCAAACAATGCTATTGACCCGATTGAGAGAGGCTTGAGAGGTCGAGTAAGTATGTAGAAGAGTGTGTCATTATCTTTTTTACAACGTCTAAGAATAAACATACGCAAGAACAGCCCAATCCAACTCAACCGAATTCGATCCAATCCCACCATTCCTCGCAAGTAGTTTAGACGTTCAACTCATAACAACAATCAATGCTAAAATCCTTGTGGATTAAAAGTAGCAAGCACACCAACAGAGCATTTAAAATGTAATAACCCATTCCATTCCATGCATGCCATGATCCTGGTGCTCGCGCCAAAAACGCCCATAAGTGTTTCCATGTATCATTTCCAAACCCTCACGTGTGAGGGGGATATCCATCGGGAAAGCCTCTCGTTTCCCTCTCAGCTTGTGGCAAGACAAATGAAAGGGGGAATCAAAACGAGAGACAAAGAGGTATGTCAGGGTAGCGTAGACCCTCCAAAGCAATGTCATGATGCTTGCCTCTAATGCATAAAAAACAACAAAACCACAACCGCACATATATCAACTTTCTTCATCATTACTTCTTTTCATGCGACTAGCACGGAGGCGGCCTACACCCGGGCGATCCGTCGCTGTCGGACCAGGAAAGGACTTGGCATCTCGTCTCGTTCCGGATCCCAGACAGCGACGGGCTCGTCACCACTTGACTTGCGCTCGATTCCGATGCGGTCTCGGAATGCCCTCTTGGGGCTGACGTTCTCCCCTGTGCTGGGCATCACGATGGCGCTCATGGGACGACCGCCTGCGCGCGCCTGCTGAAGCTCGACGAGGGTTCGGCCTCGAATGTTATTCTTAGCAGCAACCTTGCCCAAAACATCATCGGTGCTGCTGCTGTTCTTCTTATTGTTGAGTGATGAGGCGCGCGTCAAGCCCTGGCTGTTGGCCTCGGACTGGAGGTTTGCTGCTGAGGGAATCTTGCTCAGACGGCGAGTGGGCGACCTCGGAGCCTCAGGTGGAGGCATCTGCTTAGACACGAAGCCCGAGGTTGATGGTTGGGTCTTGAGGCGGTTCATGGGGCACGACTTCTGAGAAGTGAGGATAGGTCGTGTCTTGGAGGTGAAGGGATTCTTCGAAGATTTGATGTTTCGTGTCGGCGATGGGACAACGTCTTCATCTTCAGAATCAGACAAGGTATCGCGAGGATGATCCCATCGGGAATCGGCAGAGTTTCGATTGGCGTTGGCGGTAAAGATGTTTGCGTTGGCAGTGGTAGGAGCCTTGGTGTTGCCATTGCGACGAGGAGAAAGAGATAGCGACGCAATAGCGATGGGGCTTGGGGAGTTCATTTCGATATCCATTGGTGTACCAGCGGGGTTACCGACGAACATGGTCTGCGCACGGCTGAAAGGCGTGCGAGCTGTCTTCTTAGTCTCTCGAGGCGCCTCGGGGCTATCGATGGAGTACTCAGTGAGATCTGTTGTCGAGGGGAACTCAACCTCGCTGCCACCAATGGAAGAGTGAGGATAGTCGGACTTGTAATCCGACTTGCCCATCGATGAGGCATACTCATCTTCTCGACTCTCAGGTCTTGAGCCGGAAAATGTTACTGTCTTCTTTTGCAGCTCAGCTTCGACGCGTGCCTGAACCTCGGCTTCGAAGCGACTTTGGAGCTGCTCGATCTCTGCGTTGGCAAGACGGTCAATCTCGAGACGTGCTTTAACCTCCCACTCTCTCCGTAGCGATGAGTCCAGCTCGTCTCGGATAATGTCCTTTTCTCTCTCCATATTGGCAAGTCTCTCATTGAGGTCCCTTTCCTTCTTACGTAAAGCATCCTCTCTGAGGCGGAGAGATTTGTTCAGGTCGACAACCTCCTTCTCCTTCCTCATAAGCTTGACCACTGGCAGGTTCAGGAGCTCAGAAGTATCAGGCCTTCGATCAGGGTTCACACGGAGGCAGTCCTTGATGACCTGATAAAGCTCGGGAGAATAAACGTCGGGCAAGGCAGGGAACTTGCCCTCCTTAATCTTCTGCACAAGCTGGAAATGCGTCTTTGCGTTGAAGGGTGGTTCGCGCGCGCAGAGCTCGTAGATGATGCAACCCAAAGACCAGATATCTGACTTTAATGTGTACTTCTCTGCAGCACAGATCTCGGGAGACATGTAGAAGGGGGTACCGACATAGGTAGAGGCGAAGTCGTGGGACTTGATCATCTTGGATAGACCGAAGTCTCCAAGCTTGACAGAGTTGTCCTCGCCAAGGAAGACTAAAACACTGTTAGTTTGGGATATCGTAAACAAAGGGATCCACTATCGAGGTCTCACCATTCTCAGGTTTCAAATCTCGGTGCAGAATAGTCATTGTTCCAGCAGGGACCTTGGGTCCGCCAGCAGCGTTTCCCTGTGTCAACCCTAGCACGTTGGCGCCAACCTCTGGAGGGTCAACACCATAGTGACATCGGTAAAGCGCCATGACGAGCTGACTGAAGATACTCCAGACGAAGCTTTCCTGAGCTCGCTGGCCCTTTAGCGCGAGGTCCTTGATAACGCGGCCGAGATCGCCATTCCCGCAGTACTCCATGTAAAGATGCAAGTCCTGGCTAACTTTGAGGTGTTCACGATGGTAATAGGCGACAATGTTTGGGTGGCGCAGATGCGATAGGATCTGGAACTCGGCGTGAAGTTGTTCGCGCTCCTTCTGGGACATGCGTAGATATGAGATTTCTTTGCGGCACATGATGAAGCCGTCTGTCCTGCGACGGACCTTGCGGATAATGCCAAAGGAGCCATGGCCTAGAAGAAGACGGTGAGTTAGAGTTGCCGCTCAATTGATGGCACGGCGCATCGAGACGAGTGCTGTGAACTCGATAGACTCACCAATCTTCTCCAGCGTTTCGTACTTGTCCTCGGAAGACATGATGAAGTTATTCACGGTGAACAAGCAAACTCAACCCATGCAAACAAGTAAATTCTCGCTAGGCCGTGAAAGTGTGAATGCAGATCAGATGCGATGCGATGAAGGAGGACGCAGAAACAAGAACGAACAGACAGACAGACAAACACAACCTGCTTTGGTTAGTAGTAGTAAGCTTGATGTTTTAAGAGATGGATGGGAGAGGAGAGAGAGGAAGAGGAGGAAAAAGGAAGAAAGCAAGGTCCAGCTTGAAGTAGCTAAGTGAATGGATCTATTTTGCGTTGTTCGTGCAACTTGTAGCTTAGACCCAAATAATCCCGGCCACTCGTCCCACGGCCTCGGTTCTGATTGGAAGTAAACACTCCATCGTTGCTACCATGGCAACCAAGGTCAAAGCTACCGATAACCGGGGATAGCCGGGGAGCTCTTATCGATAAGAGGTGACGTCGTTCTGTTTCTGGTCTAGGCACGTAGTCCATCGATAGAAGTCTGTCGAACAAAACAGCCAAGAATAGATCAGATCGGTTAATTAACCATATGCAAGATAAAGTGATCATAATGCAGTGGCTGTATTGTAAGTTTAGCAACTCTACATAGTTCAATAACTAAATCTAACCATATTGCTGTGGCTTCAATATTATGCACTTAAGGCAAAGCTTAAACGCGCTTAATTGAATACATTTACTGGCACGTGAGCGCGCGATGCGTTTCAACGCGTGGCTTTCATCAGGGCGACTTGCATCCAGAGAATATCAAGACCGCAGGCGGTAACCAAAATTTGGCCGAACTGAGGGCGCGTCTCACTATGCGATGAGTTTATCAAATTTTCAAAGCGTTTAAGCTGATTCACGCTGCCAAAATTGATATCTGCAGAGGCGTTGGCGCACTTGTAGCCCAGCCCTCTCACTCAAGCTTCAGCGAACAGCGCCTTATCCCTTTCATAACCCAGAGAAAGCCTACTCATCACAATGCCACCGGCAATCACATACGATGGAGTCGAAAGTGCCGAGGGCGGTACCATCTTCAAGGACCTCAAGTTTTGGCTCTCACGTCGAGTACCGAGCAGAAAATATTGGACAGAGCTTATCACGGTATGTTGATCCTGCAAACTCATTCATGCGCTGTCGCTGATTCTAAAATAGCAAAATGGCGGCAAGGTCGTCATCCTAGAAAAACATGCTGATATGCTTATCGCGGACCATCTCATAAAAAGAGATGCCCCTCCTGGCTCCTATTCATGGAAGTTTATTAAGGACTCGGTGGAAAACGGGTATATACAAATCAAGGATAAATACTTGATAGGACGCCATCCAGACGAACCAAGGCCGGTGGGCAGCAATCAAGCCAAAAAGTCAACAAGGACACCGTTCACTGCTGAGGACGACGCGAAACTTACTAGGTGGGCACTAAACCATCCGACCCAACACAAAGGAAATCAGATATGGTACGAATACGAAAAAATTGTAAGTTTTCACAAACCAGGCCATGCAAATTAAGCTCACATGTGTAGAATCCTCGACACACTGCGCAATCTTGGCGCGATCACTGGATCAAAAAGCTGCAGCCCCTGGATAGGAAAAAGTTGGAGAGTATGGCAGCCTCTGCGCCTCCAGAAGCCGGTCCTATTGCGAGCACCCCAGAAAAGACTACGGCAGACCGCAATACGACTGTCAGAATCCCACAGAAGGCTGCTGTTCAAAGGGCCCCTGAACAACGCATGAACAGCCAAGTAAACGCCGGCCCCATTCGCAGAGCACCACAACCTCAACCTCCGACAGCGCCATCGCAAGGCCCGAGAGAAGCCAACAAACCTCGGGAATCAATAGTAGACTGTCAAGAACAAGAACAAGAACAAGAACAAGAACAAGAAGAGGAAGAAGAAGAAGAAGCTCTCGCTCTTTTGAGGGACAACTGGTACCAAGATCTTGATGAGTATATTAAAGTTACCGAGAAAGACATCAAGAGAAGTCTCAACATCAATGGAAAGAAGATCGAGTTGTTTGATCTTCTGCTAGCTACCCGAGATGCGCCAGTATCACAGGACAGCCAAGTAACCGACTGGTACAGAGTCGCAGAGAACCTTGGCTTCGTTGAACCAGATCAGCACACTGTCAATGAGTTGCATCTCTGCTATGAAGAGAACCTCGTGGACTTCCTCGACACAATGGAGAGCTTCGAAGTCAACAGCGAGGAACAGAGCCCCGAGTCACAGGATCAAGCTCCTGACATAGACCCTGCTCAGGACATCAACTTCGAAGACGGTCAACAGCGCGGTTTACTGCAAAGCCAAGTACCCTCCTCACCCCCAGTCACCGCGCCAGGTTTGAAACGAACCGCTGGTGAGCCTCCCTTCGCCTCACTGGAGCGCTTTAAGAAAAGACGCTACAGTAAGGACATAGAGATACCATCTACACCGGACGCCGAAGAAGCCCCCAAGCTACAGCGTGCCCAAGAAACATCTCCTGGTGCACTAAGAACCTCTCAGTGGCTAGGTTATATTGGTGAAAGCGAAGCTTCGCAACACCTTCCACCGCTTCCCCCGATGCAAGATGAGTCACAAGACCTCGGAACGCGGCCGGCATTCAGGCAGGATACCCGTCACCAATCTGTGGATGTTTCACTGCCAAACGATACAGCTTTGGATACTACACCAATACCGTTGCGTCTGAATAAACATCGCCAGCAAAAATCCTCTCGTGAGAGACAGCGAGAATCACACGCCCAGCCCATGAAGCGACGTCATGACAGCAGCTTTACAGACCAAATCGCTCCCAGGCGAGCTGTTTCCTCTGTGAAACCGAAACCGAACCCACAACCAAGCAGCCGAACAGCTCGACGGTCTCTTCCGGCCTCTTTCAACTCTCCCCGACCTATTCCCGATACAAGCCAGCCTCAGAGTTCAGAGAAGTCTAATTCTCGAGAAATCCAGAACTGGATAAATCGCTATGAAGCAATGGGCTACCCCCGCCAATTTGTCGTGGAAGCCCTCAAACGTACCACCCTTACACCTGGAAAATTGGCCCTTCTAGTCATGAAGCATCTCAGTGAAGGACGCGATGTGCCTTCTCGCTATGAGGGTATCTGGACAGACCGTGACGATGCGGACTTGGAGTTTGCTTCGAGCGTAGACTTCAGCCGTCCTCCCGCTGACGACAGCGAAGACCGTCAACAGCAGCGCGCTCAGGAAGCTCACAACCGGCTTGTTAATAAGCATGGCTATGAGAGGTTTAACATAAGAAAGGCTTTTCTCGAGGCCCAAGCAAAAGAAGGTGGCAGCCAGCTTGAAGGATAGAATATCTTCCAGTGGTTTGACGCCCTTGATATGGTTAAATAAGTCGAGAGTTGGCAGGTGTTTGCTCATAGTGGGAGGGGCGCGGCGTACCTCTTGGTTAGGACGAAATGACATTCCGCATCACTTAATACCCAATTTGAATCTGAAACCAAGATAGCACCACTAAGTTCTATTCACCAATACCTTAGGTGATGTTCGACATGCATGAAGTGGCCATAACATCACGGGGATGACTAGCATTGGGTGGATATCTTGATGAAATGTCCGCAAAACTGCCTATACACTCATTACGTCTCATTGCATCCCTCTCACTCATCAGGGCTTTCGCATACTATGTTGCGCTCCCAACGCCAGAAAATGCAGTTTTTCAGTGACCTTGCCCCTGTACCAAATGCGTGAAACACCGCAAACAGCTTCCGTAAAATCCTACGACTTCTCGTTCGAACGTAATGACAAAAATTATTTTCCTCGTTCCCAGCGTGTCACATCTTGCGCTCAATTCACATCGCATTCATATGCTCCTATTTACATTGAGGTTTCAATGGTTCCTCTTCACTAGCCATACTTCCTTGCCAGGCCCCCAAAAGGACGAGTAGGAGGCCAAAATGATAGCAAGTTTGGTGGCAGCATATTATTTGCCAGTAGGCGGGCTGCAAAATGGTCCAGACTTGTTGCAATCGGCGGGCTGCTTTAGGATCAGCCAGCAAGATGATGTGTCCTTCGGCTTCGGCTCTTAAGGGGCTGGTGGTGGTGGTGGCTTTCGAATAATCTTGATTTTGGGCCGCTGAGTAGGCGCTGCTGAAGGAGGGGGTGTGCTCGTAGCAGGACTCGCAGACTTGGGCTTCGGTGTAGAGCTCGAATGGGTATTTAGCGAGACCTTTCTCTCTGGTGCAGGATGCGGCGATGATGCCGGGCCACCAGGCAAAGGCCTTCGCGCCGCGTCTCCAGGGAGGGGCTTTCTGGCGGGCTTGGCCGTGATGGAATCTGATCTTGAGTTCAAAGAAGGGGCAGGGCCATCTCTTGGCGCCCCTGAAGGGAGAGATACCCGGCCATTCCCATTTGGCTTCTTTTCTTTTCTCAGTAAAGGAGCGAGGCGGTTTGGAGCAACCCTTAAGGTGATGATCTTGCTCTTCTTCTTCTTAGGGATACCCGAATCGAATGGCTTATCAACCTTTGCGCGTTTGGGTGCCGGAGTAGGCTGTTCATCCTTCTCAGGTCGAGGGCGCTTGCTACTGGAAGCAGATGAGGGCTCAGGGGGCCAGGATGGTTTGGATCCTGATGAAGAGGTAGCACTTGCTTGCCGAGACAGACCTGGTGATGCAACAATGGTGTCTCTTTCTTGCTTTGGTAGAGTGGGCTTCGGGCTTTGAACAACGGGAGAGGCACTGGCGCTGGGTCGTTGAGGTTGAGGGACACTCGGGCGTTGGGCAGAAGCCGTCTTGTGGGTATTGATCTTGATAGAAGATGTCTTCTGCAAAGGTGCAGGTCGCTTCTGCTCAATGATGGGGGCAGGCGGAGCAGGAGGCGAAGGCGGTGGTGCTTGTACGATTGGCTCCCGGGGTGTCGTCCTGTAATGAGCTTTGAATTTCACGATCAACTGTCCAAGTTAGCACCAGCAAAGACTTGCTCGTAAATAATATAGCACTTACTCGATTAGAGAGCTGCTGCACAGGCCTCTCAACCTTCCAAGCCTTTGGTAAGGGGAGCGTAATGACCCAATCGCCAGCCTCCTCAAACATCATCGCCGCCAAATCTAGCATGCTTTCCATCTCACCACGACCGAGACTCGGATGATCCAGCGCCTTACGCATCGCAATGCTGTAGTGTCGTTCGTCGCCTCCGTAGGTTTCATCCATTTCTCTTCGTAAAGCCTTGAGTGCTGCATCCAGATTCTCTTTTCTGGCAAACATTTCTTTTCTCGCCTCAATCTCCTGGGCACTATCTTGCACAAGTAAAAGGTCTCCTTCATCTTCCGGCCGAGGGTCATTCTTAGCAACCTTAGCATGCTCTCCGAAAGCAATGGCTGCGAGCCCAGAGGCAGACGCCTCGATGAGTTTGTTCCGCACGTACGGTGACCGGTCGGTGATGAGTGAATATGTCAATAATGAGAACACTGTCGGATCCAACATAGCCCCCAGGTCAATCAGAGCCTCGAAGGCCTTGATTCGAATTAGATCTCTCGTTCCGTCCAACAGATACTGCCCGAAATCAATGTACCTCTTCGGGATTACTTCCGCCTTCATCAATCGTTGTTTGGCACTAAGACCAGCAATGGTCCAAACGTTCTGGTATGAATGGGTCCACTCATCTCGCCGCAAAACTCTCTCGATTTGCTCTATGGCCCTTTCGAGGAACTGCTTCTCATCCTCATTGGGATTTTTGTTCTGCATCGCAAACCATTCATCTTGCTTGGAAGGGATGAGAGACGTAGCAAGAGCCTCCACGAGAGTAGCGATGTAGAAGTGGTCAGAATACGGGTTGTCCTCATTGTTATTGAAGAGAAGTTGGTCCAAAATGAACTGGCGAGCTTCAAGAGGGCATTTGTAAGTGTGAGCATCTCTCACTTGAGCGATGGCTTTGATAATAGCACACTGAACATTGTATTGCTTCTTGTCGGAAAAGTCATTCGGCTTTGGTTGGTTCGTACCTTTGTGGCAAAACATCTCTCTGAAAGCCTTCATGAGTTGTCGAAGGCCAAGCATTGATAGATCCTTGATGTTGGCCTGCCGTGGCAGAGCTTCAGCAGCCATAGTTCGAATACCATGAAAGTAGCGGCGGTCCACAAGCGTTCTGGTAAGAAACCCTGACGCGATGGGGTGCAAAGGGCCATGGGTCAGGTAAAGCATAGCATCCTGCTGAGCAACGACATCTCTATCTTGCTGCAGTTGTGACACGTACATATACGGCTCAAGAGTCCGCTTCATATCGCAAGACCACTCGAAGTCGGCATCGACACGTATCCATTCGTAGGACTCCTGGTCCATCTTTCGTTCAGTTTCAGGATCCCAATCGATCAACTCCCATTGCGCCTGCTCGTCTGGCGTCTGCAGAACGTCGCCTAAGCAGTAGAGGAGCGCATCATCCATATTTTCCGCATCCATACTGGCACCAACGTTTTGCTTTTCCTTCATGCGGCGCGTGCGCTTGAGCCGCTTATACTTGGTATTGTATGGAATCTCGAATTTGGTAGACCTTGTGGCATCTTCGCGGATTTCCAGAATATGCTCGTAAGGTGTTCCATCAGCTTCATGGATTCGTACCGTCATCGGTCCAGTGAACAGAGGCTGTACTTCGCCTGGCTTAACACCAGAGCGGCGCTCCTTGACAACACGTAGGAAATCATTCTTGTCTAGCGGTGGCTTCTTGGCTGTCCGGAATTGAATCTGGTTTAGCGTGAGCTCAACACAGAGCCTCTTCTTGTTGAATTTCGCCTTGACATCAAATCGCGGGCATCCTGAACCGTAGACCCACTGGCTCCAGAAACTCTCAAGCCGATACTTTGCCCCCTTCTCACAAGTTGTTCGGAATTTCTCTGTTTCAAGGATAGTAGCCCTGTCAGAAGATTCAATCTGAACCTTGGTTAACAGTTTAGAGAGAATACGTGTCAATCCGTGTCCTCCTGAAGCCTTAATGAGTCGCTTATCCAGGATGAAGAAAACCACGGGAGCTTTCAGAGTCATGAAGTCCATCTCGAACTCTCCCAAATGCAGGTAAGGGCCGAGATCGTAAAGAGAAGGCCGTTCGACGTCCATCTGAACAAGCTTGTCGGAGAGTGTCTTCATCCGAAATCTGTACTCATTGTTTCCGCAAATTTTCTTCATGAAGAGATCTGTCATGAAATGTGCGATGCCGACGATAAGCCAAAGGTCATTTCTTGTGTTCGGTATCATGTTGATGCCTATCCACTGGTACGCCAATGTTTGAACCATCTTTCTTGTGACATCGATCTCGGTATCAATTATGTCATCTGGGAAAAGTAATCGATTGCTGACGAAAGCCATGGAGTAGAGGGCCACAGTGTCCTGAATCATATCATCAAGGAAGCAGAGCTTGAAATTGCCGAACGGATACCGAGCAAACGTGAATGTAAAGAAATCAGCTGCCATAGTGATCGCTGCTGCTGTATTCCGCACCCAGTCGGCACGGTGTGGTAGGCAGTATGCGTGAACCTTGAGCGCATTCATACCCAGTTTGACCTCGTCCTCTTCCGTTCTGAACTCGGATGAAAGATCAATATGCTCAAACGGGCCCACTGCAAAACCAAGCTTCTGTACGGACACCTTCTTCTCAGGCTCGAAGGTCATTATCTTTTTGTGATCATCGTCTGGATCTACGGTCTCTTCCATAAGGAAACCTGAGCAGACAACCGACATTTCACGAAGTTTGTCTTCCTCGGCAAGGTTATGAATTCGCTCCTGGCCATCAATCTGCATCTTGTCGGAGTTACTACCGTTCTGTTGTGTAGCAAGCGCTTGTTGCAGAGCATCACCCAAGGTACGGGGGTACTTGATTGATATCCTCCAATCGCAACGTGATCCGTGGTCATCAATACAAGGGAAAATGCACGAAGCAGTCCCAGGATGTATCGAGCTTCGTGTGTACATGTGTGTAAACCGGTTGTCCAGGGGATCGACGCCGACAAACTGTATCCCATCTCGGGGGTTCGTATGGGAAAATGGGATGGTGATTCTGTACTGCTTGTTGGATCGCTCGTTCGCATCAAGACCTATCATAGACTTCCTGATGATGAGCCTCGGGCGATCCGGCTCGGCCTTACCTCGCAGGTTCACCTTCAGCGATCGATAAACCGGTGTGCACCCCTCGAACTCTCTATTCTCGGCGGGGACATCGTTCTTGCGGCTGCGGAATATCGACTGTGCACGCTTGCGGCGAATATCATGGTGGTCGGCTCTCAAACTCCAACTCTTTGGGTGAGTGAGCTTGGCATATGGATCATTGTAGGTTACTGTTGTTCTCCGTCTATGACTCTCGACGATATC